AACACTCCCTCCTTACTTAAAAATAATTTAAAATGATCTGTTTTTGTAACGGCTCACTGTTAAAATGTTCCATTTGCTGAGCTTTCCGGCGTTCCCCTCTCACTGCTGTCCAGCGCTATAAAGTGAATATATTGCATCCCTCCCCAGTTGCCTTAGGAAGTGGTCAAACGGCTGCATTCCTCAACTGATGGATTGGCGCGTTCCTTTCTTGCCTGAGCCCAGACAGTGTTTTTATGAGCCTGTCTCGTGACAGGCTTGAGACACTCTGAATCAAACAATATCCTAGTTCAGATCACAAAAGCAGTCTTTAAGTTCTGCTTTGCCGCGACTGTACTTATAATTGAAATTTTAGTTAAACTGGTAAAGGCACTCAATGAAATGTTCAGGGGACTTTCCCTGGTTGTGTGAAATCCCAAGACGTGGATGTGGGTACTGCTCTGGGATAAAATGTGTCTGTAAGTGCTTTGTGTTGTTTGGGTGTGTTTGTCCATTAATTTGTTCAGGAAGCCTTTGAAGCTTTATCTCGCAATCCAAAGCAAACACATTTCTGCTAAAATGATCTATGCTGCTGGGGATAAAGTACCTAATCTTATTAGCTTCCTCTGCACTATGTCTCTCTCCGCAGCCAGTGGCTAAGCTGTATCATTTAAATCCAAGAGTTTGCATTTGTGTTCCTGCCTGATGAGAAAGTTGTGCCGTATGGTTTGGGGTGAGAGCCCCTGCTAAATTAGTCATGCCCAGACTCTCCCCCAGGGCCAGAGCTTGGGGAATGAGGTAGGATGAACATTAATGGTAGTGAATCCTCAGCAGAAGAGATCTGTTTGCCCCCTTCATATGGACCTTGAAAAACTTTGCTTCTTGAAGAGCTCTTTGACTCTAACGGGACTGAAACACAGGCTTTGCTGCACAAGGGCTCATTCCAAGTTCATCAGCTCTGAGAGCAGTAGGTTGTGTGTGCCAGGACGGGTATTTTGCTGTGCTGTCAGAGGATGGGCAGGGCAAATCTCTATACAGAGCTGAATCTTGGGATGTAGAAATCTTCTGCAGTGGTTGGATAGGAGTGTGGAGCTGGGCTATGAGGGCCTCATGCAAGGAAGAGAAATAAGTGATGAGGCTAGGCGGTGCATCCCTCTTCTGTGGAACTCCCACGATCTCTCTCCCTTGCTCCTTTGCTGCTCTTTCTGACCAGCACAGAGAGAGATGCTGCTGCTTGCTTCTAAGGCAACAAGAACGCCTTAAATGTTGTGGGCAGCCCTGAATTACATCCCCAAAGTAAACTGAACCCAGTAGATCAAAACACATGATAGTTTTCTGTTGGATGCTACAGGCTCTGAGAGGCTGTAGTATATGTATTTGTTGTGAAACGGGCCTCTCTGGTGATGATTATTTTTGTTACAGGCAGAGTTGGCTTTAGTTTCTGTGTTGAAGGTCCAACAATAACAGTGAGCTCTGCTCTCCTGGGGTGAGGGAAATCCAGAGGGGTTTAATCGGCAGGAAATTCAAGTAGGAGAACACTCTGCTCCCGGCCTAAGGTTTCAGTGTGCGCTGATGAGCTGCAGAGTTGAAAAACCCCAAGTGTGGGTGGAGGTTCCTGAGGCCTGACTATTATTTTTGGGTCCCCTGAGTGATGATTGCTTGTTGCAGCCTGAGGGAGGCAGGGGGAAACTTCAACAGCCTGGATGTCTCTAGCAGGTCAGGGCAGGGAAGGAGCGGTCTGCCCCTCACAAAGGGTGAAGAGCTCAGTTGCTGATACCCATCTCTGTGGGAAACTTTGAAGTTGCCCACTGTATGTTGCAGGAACATTGTGAGCTTCTCCAGGTCTTCCTTTCCCATCCCTATGGCTTGGTGGTTGTCCTCTGGTGTAGTTCTGCTGTTGGGGTGGTCTTGCAAGGAGAGGGTTGTTGCGATAATGTAAGTCATGTGGTGGGCCTTAATGAAGAAGGGGATCTAGGGGTTTTCCATCCTGAACACAGCCTGCTCCGACACTGCTGGGGAGTGCTGACCTCCATAGCCTCCACTGAGCAGCCCGGCTCCTCTCCCATGGCCTCACTATCGGCACCATGCTCCACTAGCCCCTCCACCACGTGGGCAGGGGCCCCAGCAGTTTACTTTCAATGCCTGCATTTTGCTTACTGAGCAATGGGATGTCCCATGCACCTGGCAGACTTGGCTTATACTTCCAAATTTAATTTTAATTTTATTAAGTGAATTCAGGGGTGGCAGAAGCTGCCAGAGCCCATTAGCTGTGGAGTACGTCTTGCTTCCAAAGCATACAGGCCTGGGCAATAGCCATGCCACTCACCTTTTTTCTATTTTTTATTTTTGCTTGGATTCAATGCATCAGTTTGAAAGAACACATTTATGTAGAAGCTTGACCCTCTGCTGTGTACAAAACAGACCATTTTATACAGAAAGCCAGTGGTTGGCATGTCTGCCCGTCAGTGAGCACAGTGATATTTTTGTTGTTGTTGAAGGTGTTTATCTGCTAGATACCAGTGAATCAAAAGAGAAAAAGCCCAACAGAACAATTACAAAGATGCTATTTTGCTTCTTCAAATAACTCTAAGAAGCCCTGGTTTTCCTGGTATGCTATTGCCCACCACGTGGCCTGGTGCTGTGTGTGGACAAGGCAGCACTGTGCTGAGGTAGCCCCCTTTATTTCTCTGAACCTTCTTGGGGAGGCATGAATGAGAGGGCAAAATCTTTTCCTCTGAGACACATGGGTAAGCTTTCCTGCAGATGGAAGGCTTTCCCTGCTGCAGAAAGATGCTGAAATTTTCCTGGTGCTCCTCTCCACTTGCCTGCTTGCTTCATTTTGCTGCAGAGACTACAGTCGCAGAGCTGGGCTCCAGCCCCTTACTCTGGCTGTCCCCACTGGCACCAGAAGTTTAACTTGGGCACCAAGGTGACCTGAAATTAGGATCAAGCCCAGGGATTTCCTTAGCTTGGTCCTGCTGACCTTCAATGGCCTCGCAGGGCAAGGGAGAAGTTTTAAGATCAGGGTAAACCGGGGTTTCTGCTTCTGAGTTCATTTGTCAGAGAATAGCTGCTGCAAGCTGGACCCTGACACCCCTGTTCACATTGCAGTTCCCCTCTAACTGGTCGAGTTGCAACGGCTCCACAGAGTATTCATAGTATCCAGCGTGAGTAAGGGGCTAGCAACTTCTGAGTGGTGGGTGATGTTGGTGGTATCAGCCTAGCGGGTAGCATGTGTGTGAAAGCTGGAGAGACGGGGACAGGATGATGAGGTGTGGAAGGATTGACTGTATTTTCATTGCTTCAAGACTTTGCCCTTTCCAAGAAAAATAATCTGCAGCTTGAATATTTCTCTTTGCTGGAGGGGGTGGACATGTGTGCAAACGAGGTGTGGATTTTTATGAGAAGGTGTGAAAGTGCGTACATGAGTGAAGTGTGAATTACACGTCTATTTGTACATTGATGTCAACAAGTCCATGAATTTCTTCCTTCCACGTGAATGTCTCTTTCTCTTTCTCTCCCCCCAAACCCACATAGACACGTGTGTGGGCAAATATGTCTTGCTGAGAGAAGAGATTTGTGCAGGAACGTAGGTTTGTAAATGTTTGTGTATTGAGCAAGCTCTTCAGTGGAACAAAACCAGATGTTTTTTGGTATTCTCAGCTCTTCCGTGGCAGTGTTGCGATTTTTCCCCTTGTATTTTTCAGGATACTTACTCAGGATTATTTTAAGAAAAAAGGCAGGGCTGCAGAGCTGCCTTTGGGTGTGTGAGAAGAAAGTTATTTTGAAGAATGAATGTGTTAGAGGGCATGAAAAACATGGGGGGAAACTGAGACGGTGTTTTTTAATGGTGAAAGAAGCCACGCTCCCCCTTGAAGGGCCCTCCTGCTGCCCTTGTTCCCACTCAGGCAGTGTGCAGGCAGTGTGCAGGCAGTGTGCAGGCAGTGTGCAGGCAGCAGGTTGTTTATTCAAAGTGCTTTATTCCAGGAACTGTTACTGCTGAGGGGTCCTGCCTCGGTCCTGCTGCTTGCGTTGGCTGGGATGTCCCCACCGGGAGCGGGCAGACTTGTGACAGCTTATCAGGGAACACTTCTGAGGCTTGGCAGGCCCCATAGCGGAGGGACAGAGTGAGACCCGCAGTGTGGGGTTGAGGCCGCAGGAGTCTGCGCTGCTTTGCTTCTCCCGGGTGGTCCCAGGGTTTTGCAGTGGGCGCTGCTGCGGGAGGGACAGGAACAGCCCTCATCTCTCGGCCCACAGAGCTGATGGGCTGTGGGATGTCTGGTTACACAAAGGGTCGTGCGCCTGTGCCTCAGCTCCCCCGTGGGCATGGGATGTGCCTCAGGCCCCATCACAAGGTGTGCACATGTGGGCCCTGGGAAAGCCCACCCGCGCTATCCTGTGGCCCTCCAGGGCTGTGGGAGACTGTGGGGACAACCCACAGAGGTTTGCGTCCCATGTGGTACCTCATTGCTTATTGTCAGGGAGGGGAAAGCCTTTCCCCAACAGGGGATTGAGGTCACCATGTAAGCCTGCCAGCCTGCCCTGTGGAGGGGCTTGAGGTTTTGCTGGGTATTGCCCGTTTTGCTGGGTGTGAAGAGGCAATGCTGACTTCTGGGGGCAGCTGGGGCAGCCTGTGGGGTTGTGGCACTGGGCTGGGGTGGTGGTGGGATGGGGGAGCTGTGAGAGGAATGTGGTAGGGGCCCCGTGGAGAAAGGGACTTTGTTGGGATTTGTAGTGCCTTATCAATTGACCCTGTGATGCAGATTTTCCTCCCAGCAAGTAATGCAATAATAAATTTGATTTTCAGTGTTCATGAGATTAAATGTGTTTTTTGAAGATGAAATCATCCTCTAGGGCTTATTCTAACCCAAAGCTGAGAGTGCTTCCTCCACTCACCATGCAGCCGTTGCCAGTCATTTGTGGGCTAGCCCCACAGAACCGCTACTGCTGATTATCTGCATCTGCGATTCCAATGGCTGGGTTAGCTTGAAAGGTTTTGGGAGGTGGGAGGCCAATCTGCCGAGATGGGGTCGTGGAGGCAAGCAGGGTTGGGGAGGGAGAGCACAGCAAGTGGAGAAGGGCCATCGTGGGGCTACAGGCCAGGGCCAGGAGGGCCAGATGTTGTCCTCAGCTCTGCTGCTGGCCATGCAGGTGGGTCTGGGCTTGTCATCAGCCCTGCCATGCCTCAGTTTCCTTCCTTGGGAACAGCAAAGCTTTCTGCACTCCCGCGGCTGTATCCCGTTTGTATCATCCAAATCTTGGTGTCTCCTGAGGCAGCTGTGGGAGACTGCCACAGAGCAGCTTGCAAAGGAGGCAAAAGAAGGGATAAAATGAGGCAGCTCCAGATCATCTGATATCAATCTGTCTCTTACTTTATGGCTCTATAATTGCCTTGGCAAGAGCATTTATTTCTCTTTTCTGGTCTGTGTGAAATGTGGTATGTAAGTGTGGCAAGAGTTGGAAGGGGAGTAGGTTTCTTGTGTAGAATAATTGCCCTTGCCCAGAGATTACTATGAAATATTAGACTACCAAATGGATGACAACAGCCTGGAGAATGGCCTTTATCAGACCACCCCCAGCAGCGGCCCAGAGCCCATTTCAATACCTTGTTCCTTTCTGTGTCTCTGCAGCTCAGCCGTGCGGGGGCCGCCTGAACTCCAAGGACGCTGGGTACATCACATCCCCGGGGTACCCCAATGACTACCCCTCCCACCAGAACTGCGAGTGGGTCATCTATGCCCCTGAATCCAACCAGAAGATTATCCTCAACTTCAACCCTCACTTTGAAATCGAAAAGCACGACTGCAAGTAAGAGCCTTCCTCTTTCTCTCTAGTACATAGTGACTTCCCCTTCCCACTTTTGCCTAGCTGTATGGGCTTCATGCTTCCTTGTGCATGAGAACAAGCTTCGTCCAGAGCTCCCATAGCACTTAATCTCATTGACTTTCAGGGGCAAGTGTGCTTCTACCAATTGGGTGGTTATAAGATGCTGCTTTGGACACATATAATGAGCCTACTCTGCATTGAACTGGTGGTTCTTAACTCAGCCTGGTATCACTGAAAGCAAGAGCTAACTGATTTTCAACTTGAATTTGACTTTGTTTAAAAGGCAGCTTGTTTTTCTCAGTGTTGAAGTGGCCTCACTGTCCTTTTAAACCATGCTATGAAAGCAGAGCAATTTCCTGGCGTGTAACTAGGCAGAGGTATGGCATAGAGAGCCCTAGGGCTGAAGGCTTGGGCCGTGTGAGGCTGGGGCCTTGGCAGTCTGAGGTGTTTGGGCTGGATCTGACTTTCCACAGTGCTTATTCTGCTTTGTTTGGTAAACTGGGGGGTTAATTTTGTTCGCTTTTCTTCTTTTTTCTTTTAAGAAGGGACTCAGAACTAGATGTCCGGGAAAAACAATTAACAACTAGTAAAGAATAATCAATGGCATCAAAGGGCACCATAAAAGGCTGACTTAATAACATGGTCTCAGCAGACATATAAACCTGTGTGTTTAATCTGGAATTCACAGCCAGCTACAGGGGTGCCTGAGCTGTGAAGGAGCTTGGGGTCTCCTAAAATGGACCTGACACAGCAGTCTCGCCAAACACGCTGGTCCTGTTGATTAAAAGAGGGTTATATATGGAGAGGGGAACTCTGTTTGCAAAAAAGGACAGAGGGACAGGGGAAACATTTATGGGGCTGTAGAATCAGTCCTGTGGAGAACAAAGAATTTAGCATGGGTTTGATGATGTACTGAAGGTTATGAAGTGTAGAGCTGGATTCTCAGCTACCATAAATCAGTGTAGCTCCTCTAACTCTAATGAAGGTGTGCTGATTGATGTCACTGGGGATCCTATCACCCCCTACAGATAAAGCCTGGGCTAATAAGGCTTCGAGCACCATGAACTCTCCCTGAAGTCACTGTTTGTGAAAGGCATTTAGCACTTTGCAGGATGAGGCTTGTGTTTATAGAGAGGGGAGAAGGTAGAGAAAGGCTTATTATGGGCATGGACGAACACAACAAGGCCTTGACAGTGCGTGTGAGAGTGATGGTTGCTATCAGATATTATTTTATTGCTTGCACAGGCTGAACTGCATAGCCTTCTCATAGCTAATGCAGTTGCCCCAAATTCACAGTAATAAAAGCTCTGTAGGCCTATATTTGCAGTCTGAAGAGTATGCGATATGTATGCAGGGCAGTGTTGTGTGCAGGGCAGGGGTTGAGCTAGGCAGGAGGGACTCCAGCTTCTGCCTCTCAAAGGTCTCAGGCAAGCAAAGCCAGTTTGATCGGAGAAGCAAAACCCCCATGGGCACCTGGATTTTCCTCCATGTGTAGGAAGCTGTCAGTTTTAGTTCTGAGCACCTTAGACAACTTTTGCCATGTTTTGATGCCTGTGAGCGAGCAGGGTCTGGTCCCAAGCTGTAGGTGGTGTGTGCTGGAGAGGCTGCGTGAGTGCTGGAGACGTTGTCCCTTTGCTGCTTTCTACTTTACCATAGCAGATCTGAGCGTCTGCTACGTGGTCTTGACCTTTCCCTTTCTGGGTGTACTTACATGAGGGAGCCTGTAGTTAAAGCAGAAAGATTTGAGTTGGAGGGTTTTGGTCCCTCATATGGGACATGAATGGTGGAGGGTTTCTCAGGGTCTCTGATTCAGTACAGCTCCTGCAGCAACATTGCTTTCTAGGTAACCTAACATCAAACCTCTCCTGAAAGTGGAGTTTGCCTGCACCTCTATCCCCTCAGCTGCCACCTGTGTGCAAGTGAAACAGGGTTCATTGACAGTGCACTTGGGCTTCTGCTGGCTACAGGTGTGAGCTGTGAGCCAAGCTGACTTCGGGTGCCTGCTCCCCAAAGCCAGCACTGCAAAGGAGTGGATTTGAAAGAACTTCATGGACAGTGTTTGATAGGAAGCATAACAAAACAAATTAAAACAGTGCATCATAAACGCTGCCTGAAAGAAATTGATAGGAGGGAGATTTTTAACTAATTTTGTGACCTAACAGAAGATGACAAGTATTAACACTGTGTAATACTTGGGCATTAAGCAGTACTAATAGGTGACCATCTGGTAATAAATCTTATCCAAGCGTCAGAGGCTATTTTATGAAGAAGCAGAGGCCTCAGTGCAGTTGCAGGTGGGAACCTTAACAGGATCAGGAGTTCAGCATCAAAGAAACAGTCTTAGGGCAGAGCCCTTCTTTTGACATCTGGTCGTTAAAATAGAGCACATTCGCACAAAGATGACAGGCTCAAAGATGAACCTCATTGTGGCACTCTGTCTCTGGGCAGACAAGGTTCCTCCTACTTGGCTATTGCTACCTGGCAGCTATCGAAGCGGGACCTGGTCTGGTCTGTGCTTCCAGCTGCCAGAGGCAAACACCATAACCCCTTCCACTATTGCTTCTTCCTTCCACGTTTCATTTTACCTTATTAGGCTAAAGTTTCTCCCTCAAAAAGCATAACATTTACATTCCTAAAACCCATTCTAAGGCCTACAAAAATATCTGCAAAACTCTTTTTAGTTTTACCGTGTCCTTTCTGGCCTTCCTTGTATCTGCTTCAGCTTTCCCTCTGGGACGGGAGGCATTTCCTCCTGTGTTTTGTACAGTGCCTGGCACCCTGGGGACAGCTGCGGAAAGGTCAGTGGTTTCCCCACACCCGGCAGCTGGCCGGAAAAGGCCTGTGTACCTGGTGCTACCAGGATGCCAGAGCAAGAGCTGCCTGTGGAGAGCAGCTTCGGCAGCCAGCCCTCCCTGCCTGGAGGGTGGGAGCATCAGCCAGGGATGGACGCCGGGAGGTGGCAGCCAGGGGCGGTTGCTCTGTGCTGGTTGTTGCTATTGTTTTTCTGGAGGCACATCTGGGCTTTTATTTTTTGTCTGTGTCCAGCTGCATTAAGAAGTAACTGCACACCCCCCCCCCCATTGAAGCCCCAGAACATATTTCTCTCTCTCTCTCTCTTTTTCTCTCTTTCATCCATGCTCTGAGGAAGCACTTTACTTAGGGAAGGCACTTCAGGTTAGGAAAATTGGCCTCCTCCTGCTGTTGTGGCTCTCATGTGCCAACACAGCAGAGATCCCTGTTGTGGGAGGGTGGGCATGCTGTGGCAGGGAGTATGGGACCCAGGCTATTGTTCACATTGTCCTGCAGCTGTGGGGCCACAGTAATGGCAGAGCCAAAAGGGAAGTTTGATGCTATGATAAAAGACCTGCCTAACTATTCGGAAATAATTGTAATAGTCTGTCTGCTCCTCGCCATTTCTTCTTCTCTGTGCTACAAGCGCAGCTGTTGCTCAGGCACTGCGGCCCCGTGCCATTGGTATCTGCTCTCTGAACAGGGAAGTGGCATCCAGTGGAAAAGAGCACGCTACTGCTGCTGTGGCAAAATGTTTCCACTCCCTGCATGGCATGGCGGGAGCTGGGCAGCCTCATTCATGTCAGGGTTTTTTTGTGATCCCAGGAGCGACCTGAACCCTTTGCAATAGGTGTGCAACAGGGGTAGCTGTCCCCCAGTTTGTGCAGTCACGTAGCTGAGCTTCCTCCTCCTTCCTGATTGCCGTTTTGCTGTTCTGTCTGTGCTGCTTGCTTGGAAAATCCAAGTCAGAAACCTCAGCTCTGAGTGAATCACAGCATTTATAACCAATCACCTTTTCCATTCATGCCTCCTCCCTACTGCTGGGCTTCTCTTTGGACCATTAAAAGTTCCCTCCCAAGATTGGCTACTGACTCTGCTGTCCCTGGCCTCACTTGGCTGACTCTGCCAGAGGATTTGGCTGGGCAGAGCTGCCGTCAAGTGCCCGGACACTGTTGTACACACACGGCAGCGGCACGCTCCCTCCAGACTGCAGTGGACGGGCTCGTGCTCCCCCCGCAAGCAGAAGACCTTTCAGCTGAGTCATAACATCTGCACCAGAAGAATGCTGCTTTAAAAAAAAAAAAAAGTGCAACCCATAATCAGATCATGCCAGTGGGTTTTTCTGTAGCCCTTTCCAACACATGCAGCAACTGGGTTGCAATTGGTGGTGCCCCTGCCTGGGCAGGATCTGGGGGACTGCTGCGGTGGCTCGCAGCCCCCTCTGGTGGCATACGCCAAGTGCTGGCAAAGGTTCCTGGAGACGGGGCCCAGGGCTCCAAAAACAGGCAGGAGCTGGCAGACTGGAGACAGCCTGGAGCTGCAGAGTCAGGCTCTTCCTCCTGACTTTGGCTCCCCATGTCAAGCCCTGGGGGTTTCCAAAAACAGAAACTGGAGCTACTGTAATGAGGAAATTTATGCATTTGTCACTGTGAGCTCGTAAGTCTGTGGTGGTGCCAAAAGACTTGAACCAAGTTCAGCATCCTGGTGTGTGCTAGATACTGGGCAGGCATGGCAGGAGATGCCCCTGCTCCCAGCCTGAAGGGCAGAGGGGGACCAAAGTTTGGCAAGGGTCACCTTGGCACCACGCTCCCAGTGCCCACCTCTTGGAGCACTGCCTGCCAGGGGACACTGGCAGTAACATGCTGGTGTTTCCAGGCCACAGTACAAGGAGGCATGTGGGCTTGGCTAGCCAGTGAAGACCTCTTCATGGCAGCGTGGCCATCCTCTCTGCTTCCAGGAGGTTGGGCACTGGAACAAAACAGCTCTGCATCCTTCCTAGAGAGCAGCAGAGATGCTGGCCCAGATCCTTTGCTCAGGTGGCAGGGGGAGCTGCAGCCAGCCCCAGTGCCCACAGACAGGCAGGCAGCTGGTGCCTGCAATATTCAGCTTGGCTTTCTTGACTGTCTCCTTCAAACAAGAGAATGGTATTGCAAGAAGCTGTCTCTCCATCAGCGAAGGTTAAGAGTAGACAA